CAAAGAGGAAGAAGGTGAGTTTTGGCTAAAGGTCCCACCCTAAACTTCAGGTCTCAGGTCAACAGGCAGGAACACAGAGGAGAACTACTGGGAGCAGTAAGCCTCGACCTCAGGCCTCAACTTCACAAACGGGAATGGGAAAAAGAATGATCTTCTTCAGTTCCTGTCCTAACAGAGGGTTCTAGGAAAGGCCCTTTGGGTGCCTGTTGTGGGCTGATAATACAAAGTGACAAACATGTTTGATCTACGAGTGGAAAACTGGAAAACCCTTTGTGATTGGCAAGGTTTACAAGGTTTTAGTATCTAGAAAATACCTGTTCCTCTGTAATCTTGGAAGCTGGTTTCTGAATCCAGCAGGACCACCGAAGCCACAGGCTGCTTTCTCATGAGTCTGGCTGGGTTGGCAAACCACATGCACCGGGGCTTTTTTAACATTTGTCTCTTTTTTAATTGATTTTGTTTTAAATAAAAGTACTAATATTTAATATAATTTTCATATTCTGTGGTTCTTATAACTTGTGGAGGTCAGTGTCTTGTTCTACAGCACTTACTGCTGATGGGATCTAGCGTCAGCTGGCCTTAAACTTTCTGAGGTACTGAAATAAAACTTTGTTCCTTCACACTCACAACTTTGTGTAGTCAGTCTGAGCATTGGACTGCTCAGACTGTCCAGGCTCATGGAGAACATGGAAATTCGACATAAGGCTGGTGAATGAAGGCATCAAGCATGAAACTCAACAGGAGTCAGGACAGGAGGACATACAGAAGATGATCTAAAACCATATATGTTTTTTTAAAAGTATGAACTTTTGTAATTTTGCTTCTGTGCACCACTGCAGTGAATTTTAAATCAATCAAGGTGTGATTGAAGTGCAGACTTTCAGCTTGAATTCAAGGCTTTTAAAAACACCTTCCAGGAATTAGAGATTTTTAATCTCTTCATTTCAGAGGTTCAGCCTTTTTAAAAGGTGACCCTGCACTCTTGGAACAAAACCTCCATCCTGCCGCTGCTGCTGCTGTTGATGTGAGGGCCAGCTTTGACGTCAGTGTTTCTCTGAGCCACTGTGTAGACAGGACCCTGTAACCACGGGATACTCGGTTACATACTTGTGTGCAGGCCAATGGGCGGTTGCAGAGGACTGCTATGAAAAGAGCATTTTATTAACAGCAGGCTCAACAGGGTGGTAACAAGGCTCTTCTGTAAGCGAACGTGCAGAGGAGTGGGGGCGCCCACATCCACAAATATTGCTGGTAAAAAATAAAACTACCTTTTAGTTGTCAGTGTATAGAGTAAAACGGGCTGTCAGGTGAAGAGACATCTTTTGTCACACATTCAGTCAAATAAATCTAAATGATCTGCGTATTCTCTTTCACTACTACGAGCGTCTGCCACAAAGACCCTCTGTGAGGAGGCCTCTGCTGCCCTCCACCCTCATATGGCTTCCATTTGCCGAAGACAGGGGCGTTACACTCTCTGTGACTTACAGCAGTAGGTCAGCGCACGTCAAGAGGTTTCATTATGAATGCAGATCCAGTCTTTGTGCCGCTGGACACCAGCCTGCTGCTGCTGTGCTTCCTGTCTCCAAGTCGCTGAATGAGATGATGGATTTACTCTTTTTATTAGAAAAACACGATCAGTGTATCCTACCGTGGATTTGGAGATCATAGCACAAGTTGATTGCAACAATAAGCTTCAGTTCATCACTGATAGAGATCTTGAAATGAGCATTAAAAAAATCCCCCAATAATGATTTAAATATCTGACACCTCAGAAGTTTAATTCCACTAACTGACTGTTGTTCAGAAACACCAATTAACCATCTGTTCTATTATAATTTCATTATAATATTCTTATAAGGATTCTGGCCATCGCAGTGAACCAATGGAAAGTGAACCAGTTCCCATAGACTCTAGTATTAAAATGTCAAACACTCCTCAGTAGGTAGTTTTCCTCTTAAACTGTTCAACGGGTGAATATTTTTTACGAGATAACACAAGGTAAGATATTTGATTTGTCCCAAAAGTTCACAAGTCTACCATTTGGATAATGGTTAAGCTTATTGCAGGGGCGATTCTAGGATCAGAGCTTTGGGGGTGCTGAGCACCCAGAGAGCTGCCCAGCCAGGCAAGATAAACTTTACTTGTCACAATGAGACTTCTTCCCCGTCTCTGTCGGTCCCTGCATCCTTAAATGTCTCCAGTTGTCCCGAG